ATGTAATTTATGACCATCATGGTTCAGCAGGGTTGAGACCAAAGAGGAGTCAGTACCACTGCCCTCCCCTGAAAATTTCTCACCTCTGTGATACCAAGGCCCCACAGGGATTACTGTTCTTAGGTCTCAGCCAACCAGAGATAGCATCTCTTATATAATTTATGACCCTCAGCCAACCAGAGATAGCATCTCTTATATAATTTATGACCCTCAGCCAACCAGAGATAGCATCTCTTATATAATTTATGACCCTCAGCCAACCAGAGATAGCATCTCTTATATAATTTATGACCCTCAGCCAACCAGAGATAGCATCTCTTATATAATTTATGACCCTCAGCCAACCAGAGATAGCATCTCTTATATAATTTATGACCCTCAGCCAACCAGAGATAGCATCTCTTATATAATTTATGACCCTCAGCCAACCAGAGATAGCATCTCTTATATAATTTATGACCCTCAGCCAACCAGAGATAGCATCTCTTATATAATTTATGACCCTCAGCCAACCAGAGATAGCATCTCTTATATAATTTATGACCCTCAGCCAACCAGAGATAGCATCTCTTATATATATATTATGACCATCAGGGCCCAGCAGGGAGAACAAAGGGGAAGTCCCACTGCTCTCCCCTCAACATTTCTCACCTCCATGTCATGTTATGTCATTTATAGCACACATGGCTTATCAGGGAAAAGCATTAAGGCAGATTAGTTAGTACCATCCCTTTTTTGCATCCAAGAATCTTAACTCTGGACAGCTACATACTAGTATACTAGCTACACACTAGGTGCCTACTGTAAACTACTAGACTGTATGCCCTATGTAGACCTGCAATTGTATCAATTGTAGACTGGGTCCATTGTTATTATTCTAAACCACCTCACTTATGTTTCTAGCTTGATTTGTTTCTTTTATAAACAGTGGATTAAAAAAAAAATTTGCCTAATCATTAACCAAATAATAATAATGTGGTTATTTGTTGTTGGCTGGTATCTAGGCTACATAAACTTAGTAGACTAATTACTAGATATGCATTTGAATTTAATTAAACTCAGTCCAGTATCAGATACATATTACTGTAAAAAAGGCACAAAGTAGGTACGCACGAAGATGCCCGCGGTTTGCAGCCCCAAGATGCTGACCCGAGGCTTACACCTTAGGTTGACCGATTGTAGGAAAAAAAGTCACAGGAAACAAAAACACAGGAAAAATAAACCGGGAGTGATCTCCCCTAAACTTTCTCGAATATTCTTATATAAAATAACAGGGGATGGGAACTCGGGCTATAAACATGATTTTTAATCCATTTTAAATACTTAAAGTTTTAAAAATAGAATAAAATCTCGTAGACAAATTAATTGCACACCAAGTGAACGCCAAATAAAAAAGCGCATAATAGTGCGCAATATTATTAGTACTTTTAAAATTTACATTAGTTTTTTGAGAAATCGGAAGTAGCGTAAAGTACTACTTCCAGTCAACGGAAATTATTCAAAATTTAACAGAAGGTAGAGAATTAGATCTTTTACTTACATGTGAAATTTCATTTATCTATCTGAAATAGTACTCAAGTTATAGGCTTTTGAAAAATTAAAAGTAGGAAAAGTACCACTTCCGGTTATCGGAAATCGCTCAAAAGTTGATACGGATCTACGATTTTGATAAAATACTTATATATGAAATTTCATCAACCTAGCTGTAACGGTACTCAAGTTATCGTGTTTACATACGGACAGACAGACACACAGACACACAGACATACGGACAAGATTGCAAAATTATGTTTTTCCGTATCAGTGAGGTGTAAAACGTCGAGATTTGTAAAAATCTCGATTTTTTTTTTTGCACGATTACAAGACTTTCTCTATACTTCGTATATACGAGAAAGTAAAAAACACAAAAAAAAGTCACAGGAAAAAAAGTCACTTATATATATTTGCATGAAATGTGTTAATAATTTTATGTATTAATTATTTAGAGAGTGCAAATTAACTTAGGATTAGTTAAATGTAATGTAATGTGTATAGGTTTTTTTTATAATTCATCTAAGAATATTTAGTATGAAGTACGTAGATTGTAATTATGTTATACAAGATTAATAGCATTAAATAGAATGCTCCGAATTTCACGGTTTTCATCGTGTTTATTTTTTAAATACCAACATTAAATTACCGTGCAATGGTAAGTTCCTATGACTTACTGCCCTCAACTCATCGCAACAATAGTTATGACTAGCTCAACCACCTTTACTGCCCACAATTATCACGCTTTTTACATAACAAAAGTTATGATCAAAACAGAAAGCCGACAAGGTTCAAAGGCTGTCATTGACGCAAAACGCCAACAACACAAAATATGTTCTGACAATGCCTACTGAGGAGAGGCCAACCAGAGAATAGCCTACAGCAAAACATGCAAAACACAATGATGTGCCTAATTTTTTTTATAATTAATTTTTCTACTGCGTATTTAACTAAATACGTAACAAAAGTTGAGATTGTTGTGTAAATTATCTTAGAGTATTTTTACTAAACTTACAATTGTTATAAACCATAACGCTTTTAACGTCTATAAATAATTTATGCTATAAAAAATACAACCCACAACAATAAATAAACAAATTTTTACAATTCTTAACAAATAAATCAAATTATTTATAAAAAGATTTTTGTGACTTTTTTCTGTGACTTTATTTCTGTGACTTTATTTCTGTGACTTATTTTCCGATAATTTTTTTTCCATTGTGACTTTTTTCCTGAGACTTTTTTCCCGTTCACCGGTTGACCGGAGCCAGTGCTAAGTGTATGTCTCTGTCTACTGCTAGGCTGTGTATATTTGGTTTATATTGGTGATTATATTAAGTTTCTTTTTTTGTATAATTCTGTCTATTGTTTCGTGATGTGTTGTTTATTATCAGTGATTTAGGTACTTTTTGTTGAGGTGTAGTGTGTAAGGTGTGTCAGTTTTGTACGCAGCTTTTGAATTCCTTTTTTTTTTCGAGTGCTGTGGGATGAGGAAGGTTGTCTGCAGTTCAGACTCATAGACCATCCAAGGCATCGAAAAGCTAATATAGTCCATCGAAAGTTGTGAATTTTTATTCTGTTCTTAAAGTCTAGTTGCAGTCCGAGTGGGTGTTTAGTCTGTTTTGTCACTTTTAGTCTTTTCATTTTCTTTTGACATTCGGTTCCATTTTATTTGTTAAATGTTAAGTAAGCTCTAGATCTATACATTTTTGGCTTTTGTGTTTTATTTTAGTTAAGACTAAGGTTAGGATTTTATCCAGAAGGCGTTCGACCAGGCTTGCATTGACCTGATAGTTAATTTATCTAAGCCTAGGGACGTAGAATAGTCTCCCTCTGTAAGGTGTGTGTGTGTGTGTGTGTGTGTGCATATATATTCTTTTCATTGAAATGTCCAACCGTATCAAGGGGGCGCCACCCGATCCCGCCACTAACCTCTCGGTTGTGCGAACGATGGCCAGAGACAGCTATTGTTCTACGTTTATCTCCCGGCCACTGTATTGTTCTGCGCTTGGTAGAAAGCAGACACCGGTGACCTGATGGCTAGAACTACTCAAAACATTTAGCAAGCACCTCTCGCTTAAGTTAAGACAGACGCCGTTCGGCAAGCGCCATCATGGTATATCACATGAATTGGATTCTTCTTTTAACTGTGAATTTTGTGTTGGTGTCCAGCCAGCCAACCATACAACAAGACACTTACGAGGATGCTAGTAACGACAACTGTCGCTCAAGTCTGCGAAAGCTTATAATGAAACAGAGTTTAGAAACGGAAGCGTTAAGGGCTGAGGTAAGGCGTTCTTTGTGTTATATTTATAGAGCTATAGATGTACATAAATATTTGACTACATATACGTTTTTACTTTCTCGTATATACGAAGTATAGAGAAAGTCTTGTAATCGTGCAAAAAAAAAAAATCCAGATTTTTACAAATCTCGACGTTTTACATCTCACTGATACGGAAAAACATAATTTTGCAATCTTGTCCGTATGTCTGTGTGTCTGTGTGTGTGTGTGTGTAAACACGATAACTTGAGTACCGTTACAACTAGGTTGATGAAATTTCATATATAAGTATTTTATCAAAATCGTAGATCCGTATCAACTTTTGAGCGATTTCCGATAACCGGAAGTGGTACTTTTTCTACTTTGAATTTTTCAAAAGCCTATAACTTGAGTACTATTTCAGATAGATAAATGAAATTTCACATGTGAGTAAAAGATCTTATTTTGTACCTTCTGTTAAATTTTGAGTAATTTCTGTTGACCGGAAGTGGTAATTTACGCAACTTCCGATTTCTCAAAAAACTAATGTAAATTTTTAAAGTACTATTATGCACTTTTTTATTTTAAGTTCACTTGGTGTGCCATTCTTTTGTCTACGAGATTTTATTCTATTTTTAAAACTTTAAGTATTTAAAATGGATTAAAAATCATGTCTATATCCCGAGTTCCCATCCCCTGTTGTTTTATATAAGAATATTCGAGAAAGTTTAGGGGAGATCACTCCCGGTTTATTTTATGTTACTTTTATAATGTTATAGATGTACATAAATATTTGACTACAGGAGGTAATGCGTTTTTTTGTTTTATATTTATAGTGCTATAGATGTAAATATTTGACTACATATACGTTTTTGTTATTTTTATAGTGCTTTAGATGTACATACACATTTGACTACAGATCAGTTTTTTGTACAGGTGAGGAGGGAGGGGGAGATGGTGAGGAGCGTACTACTGGAGCTTGTTGACACCTTACTTTTGTTGGCAACTCGCATGGCCACACGTCATCCTTGCAGTTGTACAGTCTAAAGGTCATGGCCACACGTCATCCTTGCAGTTACACAGTCTAAAGGTCATGGCCACACGTCATCCTTGCACTTGTACAGTCTAAAGTTCAAGGTCACACGTCGTCCTTGTTGTAAAGGTTGACAGTCAAAGCCGTATTTGAAATAATAAAATGACTAATTGTGCTTATGTTAGGTTTAATGACGTCATAAAAACTTTTCAAATTGTGACATTGCTTGATCATTGTTGCCTCTGTGCCCGTGAGTGTTACTGGGAGAATGGAAATGGTTAGAATTTTTGTGCCGATTGTTTTCTTTTTCGCTGACAGTTCATTGAAGTAGACAGACGTCAGTGTTTCTTTCAGACTTTTTTCTCCAGGAGGGGGGAGCGGACTAGATTTTCCGGGGGCTTACACTGGTAAAAGGATATATTCTCTATATAAATTCCATTTCATTTGGGGCGGGGGCTAGACTTTCTTGAGCCCCACTCCCCCCTCTCCCCGAAGAGATGCCTGGAAGAAACTCTGACAGACATTCAATGAGACAGATACAAAGCAGATACTTTTAGCGCTAGTCAGTCATCTTTACTTCTAGCTGGAGTTTCCCCTACTCTCAAATCATTAGCTGGCATTTTATAAGTCTGATAGTAGAACTTGGTAAAGAGAACGATGTGTGACGTCATGTAGCTGATTGTGACGTACTGGAAGATTGGTGGGTAACCACATCCCACACACATCGAAGCGATGATTTTGAGGATCACCAAACAGAACTGCACCTATATATAGATCACAGTTTTAAAATGTCAACACAACAGCACATGCCGGCAAAAATAAAAACGTGAACTACTCATCACATCAATTGTGGGTGAATGATGTTTCAGGCAATGAGTGGAGGCAAGTATCAAATGAGTGGAGGCAAGTATCAAATGAGTGGAGGCAAGTGTCAAATGAGTGGAGGCAAGTATCAAATGAGTGGAGGCAAGTATCACATAAGTGGAGGCAAGTATCAAATGAGTGGAGGCAAGTATCAAATGAGTGGAGGCAAGTATCAAATGAGTGGAGGCAAGTATCAAATGAGTGGAGGCAAGTATCAAATGAGTGGAGGCAAGTATCAAATGAGTGGAGGCAAGTATCAAATGAGTGGAGGCAAGTGTCAAATGAGTGGAGGCTTGTATCAAATGAGTGAAGGCAAGTATCAAATGAGTGGAGGCAAGTATCAAATGAGTGGAGGCAAGTATCAAATGAGTGGAGGCAAGTGTCAAATGAGTGGAGGCAAGTGTCAATGTCCTCTTTAAATAAAGTGAATGAACTCTCCCTGCCGAGATTGGTGGTCAGCAATGTCTGGGACCTTAGCGAGAGATGTGTGTGGTCAGAATTATACACAGCTGCCTTAACCTTCTTAACCTAAGCCAGGTACCCATCAGAGCTGAGTGAATTCTGCGAATGCCCAACTTACTTGTACCGTTACCAGCCGTAAATATCTTCTTGCCATTGGTAATTCATGTCCACACCCATTTTATACAAGGTAATGTCCGTTTACCACATTTGATGAGGTGATGTTACCTTTCCACTTATAATGGTGTGATATCAACTTACCAGTTGTAATGAGGTGAGATACCTCTTCCACCACAAGTATGGACGCAGAGCTGGTCCCAGAGCCGCCAGTAGATAATAGAGATACATCAATACATGCACGCCGGAGTTGAAGGATGGGGGGAAGTACACTAAAACCCGTAGATAATAGAGATACATCAAGACATGCACGCCAGAGTTGAAGGATGGGGGGAAGTACACTAAAACCAGTAGATAATAGAGATACATCAAGACATGCACGCCAGAGTTGAAGGATGGGGGGGGGGGGGAAGTACACTAAAACCAGTAGATAATAGAGATACATCAATACATGCACGCCGGAGTTGAAGGATGGGGGGAAGTACACTAAAACCCGTAGATAATAGAGATACATCAAGACATGCACGCCGGAGTTGAAGGATGGGGGGAAGTACACTAAAACCCGTAGATAATAGAGATACATCAAGACATGCACGCCGGAGTTGAAGGATAGGAGAAGTACACTAATGTAAGGGGCTGGGGAGTTATTTAATTATTATTTTATCCTTTGAGGATTGTTGTGGTTTTTAGTTAATTAGTCCGCTATTATGGCGCTGATATGATTTTTATTTTAAAATGATTGATAGCCTGGTTATTGTGTCTTGCTTATATTTTGATTTTATTATTTATGCAAACTTTGTTTTGGAGTGTGGCTCCACTTTGCTTTATATCCTGAATGTAAGTTATTGTTGTATTAGGGACTATTTCCTTGTGCGTAGTATTGGTTTTTTAGTTCGTGAATGTGGCGTGTGAACAGGGAGGGACATTCTGCGGGAATGTTGAGGCCTGTGTGTTGAAGTGTTTCTGATCACATTTATGTGGTGTATGGACGGTGGTCCGAAATTGGGTGTTTGGTTTTGTTTGGTTTTGTTTGGTTCTGTTTTGTTGCACATAGGTTTGTCTTGTTGTGTTGGATATAAATAGTTTTGTCTGTTTTATGTCAGCAGTTTTTATCTATTCTTTTTTTGTGATTTTTCATTGGTTCCATATTTTTGGTAAATAAATTTTATTAATTGTTAAAGTTTTTGTTTTATTTTAGTAGTTTTTTTATTTAGACCAGGGGTCTCCAAACTACGGCCCGCGGGCCGGATGCGGCCCGCGAGGTCCTCTCATCCGGCCCGCGGAGATCTTTTTGTCCACGGAAAAAACGTTTGTTGGTGATGGCTGAGCAACTTTGCCCCAAAAAGTCAAAGACATGCCTGCAAGAAACTGGCCCCCGAACCGAAAATTTATAGTTAATGCGGCCCTCGGACTGAAAAGTTTGGAGACCCCTGATTTAGACTAAGGATAATATATAACCACCGTGGTTTTCACCACGGTTGCACTGACCCGGACAGTTAGATAGATTTTAGGTATCCCCCCTAGCAGGGCTTACACTAAAACCAGTAGATAATAGAGATACATCAAGACATGCACGCCGGAGTTGAAGGATGGGGGGGGGGGGGGAAGTACACTAAAACCAGTAGATAATAGAGATACATCAAGACATGCACGCCGGAGTTCAAGTTAGTTTTTCTGACTAAATGAAATGTAAACTTCCTGCACGATCCCAAAATGGTTCTCTAAACTTGATGTACAAGAAAGTAAAAAGCATCGGTAGCTCATGAAAGTTTTTATAACACAATTCAGCGACCGACAATTTTTGTTACACTTAAAGAAAGAAAATAGTATGCTGCTAGGAGTGATTAAAACAGTGGCGTAGCGAGGTCGGGTGTCATCCGGTGCGGCACTTAATGGTGTCACCTTCAGAGGCGTAGCGACCCTTACCGGGGACAAGCTTTCAAATTTTCGATTGCACCCCTCCCTCAAACTTTCGATTTGCACCCCTCCCCCTTCAAGTTTTTCTCTATATATTTTGGTATTTTTTGCCTTGGTGTCACCCCCCCTAAATGGTGTCACCCGGGCGGTCCGCACCCCTCGTCCCTCCCTCGCTATGTATCAAGATTACAATTTTAAGAAATTTAAAAAAAAGAGAGATATTATTGCACTGTCGTTTGGTAAGATGCTTTAATACTGAAGCACAAAATTCGAATTAAGAAAAGGTTAAACGTAAGGTAAATATTTGACAACAATTAAAAAGACTTAAGAAAATACTTAACACATATACCCATAGCATCTTTACAAACAGGAACGTTTTTATAAATAGATCTAAAGTTTACCCCTCATATAATGTCTATAGTTTACCCGTCATATAATGTCTATAGTTTACCCCTCATATAATGTCTATAGTTTACCCCTCATATAATGTCTATAGCTTACCCCTCATATAATGTCTATAGTTTACCCCTCATATAATGTCTATAGTTTACCCCTCATATAATGTCTATAGTTTACCCCTCATATAATGTCTATAGTTTACCCCTCATATAATGTCTATAGTTTACCCCTCATATAATGTCTATAGCTTACCCCTCATATAATGTCTATAGTTTACCCCTCATATAATGTCTATAGTTTACCCCTCATATAATGTCTATAGTTTACCCCTCATATAATGTCTATAGTTTACCCCTCATATAATGTCTATAGTTTACCCCTCATATAATGTCTATAGTTTACCCCTCATATAATGTCTATAGTTTACCCCTCATATAATGTCTATAGTTTACCCCTCATATAATGTCTATAGTTTACCCCTCATATAATGTCTATAGTTTACCCCTCATATAATGTCTATAGTTTACCCCTCAAAGAATGTATATAGTTTACCCCTCGTATAATGTCTATAGTTTAAGTTTATCTCTCATATAATGTCTATAGCTTACCCCTCATATAATGTCTATAGTTTACCCCTCATATAATGTCTATAGTTTCCCCCTCATATAATGTCTATAGTTTACCCCTCATATAATGTCTATAGTTTACCCCTCAAAGAATGTATATAGAAACCCCTCGTATAATGTCTATAGTTTAAGTTTATCTCTCATATAATGTCTATAGTTTACCCCTCATATAATGTCTATAGTTTACCCCTCAAAGAATGTATATAGTTTACCCCTCGTATAATGTCTATAGTTTAAGTTTATCTCTCATATAATGTCTATAGCTTACCCCTCATATAATGTCTATAGTTTACCCCTCATATAATGTCTATAGTTTACCCCTCATATAATGTCTATAGTTTACCCCTCATATAATGTCTATAGTTTACCCCTCATATAATGTCTATAGTTTACCCCTCATATAATGTCTATAGTTTACCCCTCATATAATGTCTATAGCTTACCCCTCATATAATGTCTATAGTTTACCCCTCATATAATGTCTATAGTTTACCCCTCATATAATGTCTATAGTTTACCCCTCATATAATGTCTATAGTTTACCCCTCATATAATGTCTATAGTTTACCCCTCATATAATGTCTATAGTTTACCCCTCATATAATGTCTATAGTTTACCCCCCATATAATGTCTATAGTTTACCCCTCATATAATGTCTATAGTTTACCCCTCATATAATGTCTATAGTTTACCCCTCATATAATGTCTATAGTTTACCCCTCAAAGAATGTATATAGTTTACCCCTCGTATAATGTCTATAGTTTAAGTTTATCTCTCATATAATGTCTATAGCTTACCCCTCATATAATGTCTATAGTTTACCCCTCATATAATGTCTATAGTTTCCCCCTCATATAATGTCTATAGTTTACCCCTCATATAATGTCTATAGTTTACCCCTCAAAGAATGTATATAGTTTACCCCTCGTATAATGTCTATAGTTTAAGTTTATCTCTCATATAATGTCTATAGTTTACCCCTCATATAATGTCTATAGTTTACCCCTCAAAGAATGTATATAGTTTACCCCTCGTATAATGTCTATAGTTTAAGTTTATCTCTCATATAATGTCTATAGCTTACCCCTCATATAATGTCTATAGTTTACCCCTCATATAATGTCTATAGTTTACCCCTCATATAATGTCTATAGTTTACCCCTCATATAATGTCTATAGTTTACCCCTCATATAATGTCTATAGTTTACCCCTCATATAATGTCTATAGTTTACCCCTCATATAATGTCTATAGTTTACCCCTCATATAATGTCTATAGTTTACCCCTCATATAATGTCTATAGTTTACCCCTCATATAATGTCTATAGCTTACCCCTCATATAATGTCTATAGTTTACCCCTCATATAATGTCTATAGTTTACCCCTCATATAATGTCTATAGTTTACCCCTCATATAATGTCTATAGTTTACCCCTAATATAATGTCTATAGATTACCCCTCATATAATGTCTATAGTTTACCCCTCATATAATGTCTATAGTTTACCCCTCATATAATGTCTATAGTTTACCCCTCATATAATGTCTATAGTTTACCCCTCATATAATGTCTATAGTTTACCCCTCATATATATAGTTGACCACCTATAACCAATACAGTCTACTAGATGTCCCCTACGGCAACCTACCTTCCCCGCCCCCCGCGTATTTGACTCCCAGCCACCACAGTAGTGGCATGGTTGCGTGGTGGTACACGTGAAGGAATGTGATTTGATTCGTCTTCTTTCTTAGAACAAAAAATACCTGGGGAAACACAGTTGGAAAAATTATAAACACAATAATTTGCAGAAATTTAAAACTTGTAGAAAAAGTTTAAATATGCCCCCCCCCCCCCCCCCCCCACCCCACCACACACACATTTTAAAACAAACATTAAAAACTGGTATCCTGCATGTAAAAAAGAAAACTAAAGACAAAAGCGCTAGTGGGAAAACAACAATTTTAAAAATTTCATAAAAAAACGTTTTAATAACAAGCTTTTATGTACTAATGCACTAAAAAGTAGAACATAAATTATACACTACTATTTAAATTACTATAAAGAAAAGCGTGGGTCACTTTAGTACTTTAGTACCTATTGGATACCTTTACTAATATTTGAGAAGAGACCCACGCTTTTCTTTATAGTAATTTAAATAGTAGTGTATAATTTATTTTCTACTTTTTAGCGCATTAGTACATAAAAGCTTGTTATTAAAAGGTTTTTTTATGAAATTTTTTTCAGTACTTTACATGTTTTATTTACAATAGTGTCACATAACTAAAAACCATTGCGCGTCTATTGAACGTGATGGCGCAGCTATTGAACGTGATGGCGCAGCTATTGAACCTGATGACGCGTGTGGTGTGGTTGGATAGACATGCCTACTAATTTGGTCCGAATTTTAATTAATTCATAAAAAATTAATTAGGCACCCAATAAGGTCAAATTTAGTTTTAGATTGCATTGTCTTCATGTCTTGACCCACGTGCTAACTGTGAATCGTATCGGTCAAGTAGAACTGTCCGCATTTTCACTCCTGCGTTTCGATCTAGACTGACGACAGACTGACGACAGAGGAAGTGAGTTAAAAAAAAGCTTGTAATAAAAGCTTGTAAAAACCCTGAAAGCTTTACTATTGTGAGCGGCTGGAGTGTATTTTTATTATTTGTAACTTAGAAGGCGAATGTATCGTTTCGTTTCATGTCGTAAATTGTTCGTAGTTTTTAGTTGTGTAGTCCCGTATTATGGCGCCGCTGTCTCACTGTTTATGTCCCTGGTTATAGCTAGTTTATATATATTTCGTTTATATTGTTGTCATTGTTTATATTAAGTGTCTTTTTATAATATTCTGTTGCATGTTTCGTGGTGTTTGGTTTGTTATCCGTGAATTGGGGACTATTTGTTTACGTGTAGTGTGTGAGGTGTGTGGAAGTCGGTTTCCGGCTTGTTCAACTCTGTCTTTTTGGTGTGTGGAAAGCAGCGGTGAAGAGAGCAGGAAGTCTCTCTGGTCATCGAGTGAAAAGAATAGCAAATTCGCACCATCCAGCCGTATTTATTTTGTGTTTGTGTTCGTCATAGTCCTGGACGAAGTCCGAAATTGGGTGTTTTGTTTGATGTAAAAAGTTTGTTTCGTTTGGTTCTGTTTTGTGTCAGTTTTTATCTATTCTTTTTTTATAACTTTTGGTTCCATATTTTGTTAAATAAATTTTATATTATTGTTAAGTTTTTTTGTTTTTAATTTAGACTAAGGTTAGGTTATTAACCAGTCTGGGTTTAGCCGGACTTGCACTGACCGGACAGTAGTTAGATAAGCCTAGAAGGGTAGATTTTAGGTATCCCCCCCTAGCAGGGCTTACACTATTAAGAAAGCTTTTAGCTTCATTACCCCCCCCCCCCCTCCATCCCCCATCCGCATCTTCAAGCATCGTCATCAATGCAGGACCACCCAACACCTAAAATTAATCTCACCACTATCTCACCACCATCTCACCACCATCTCACCACAATATAACCACCATCTCACCACCATCTCACCACCATCTAACCACCATCTCACCACCATCTCACCACAATATAACCACCATCTCACCACAATCTCACCACCATCTCACCACAATCTCACCACCATCTCACCACCATCTCACCACTATCCCTTCACTATAACTAAGTTGAGCAGACCTATGTTTGTGATTCAACAGTTTACACTTCAGCGTATCGTAACTTCCAGAACCCTCCCCCCTCCACGTTTCACATTGCAGAAAATGTTCGAATCTCTCCCTGTAATGACGTCATTGATTAATAACTCTTCGATACGCGGAGTGCCGGCGCCAGGTTATTTAGCGCCTTAGGCAAAACTTATTTGACCGCCCCCCCCCCCGAGCGATTTTTTCGGGCCCCAAATATATATATATGTCATATATATATATATATATATATATATATATATATATATATATATATATATATATATATATATATATATATATATATATATATATATATATATATATATATATATATATAATGTAAGTAGACTCTAAATTTTAAATTAAACCACTTAACCTATTTCATGATAGGCTGAAACTCATTTCTGGTCTGAAATAATCCAATTTTAATATCTCATTTATGCCCGCGGAAAATTATGAATTTCAAAGTAAGAGAAACCGAGACTTACAAGCCCTATTATCACTAAATCAACATTAAATTAGATAATCATTAAAATATTTAGAGTAAATACAATAATTATCTCATTATAGTAACAGAGACGTGGCTAGGGGAGGGCGGATGGGGCGGTCGTCACAGGCCCCGACCGAAAGGGGGGCGCCAAAATGTGTATTACCAAAAAGAAACGGGCAAATTAAATGGTAAAAAGCGCCCCGACCTTTCCAAATGAGGGGGGGGGGGCATTTTCACAAACTCGAAGAGGGGGCGCAAAATTGAAAGTTCGTCTTGGCCACCGGAATAGATCGCCTTTGAAGATTAACCTTTAGTTTATATAACATGATCAAAGTTATTAGTTATTAAGAACTTTTTAATAATAGCGATTACCCATTTTAGCGCCCCTCTATGGCGACCGCCTAGTTCGCCTTATAGGTGACACTGGGCCTGAGTACGCGAGCAGTGAAGGCATACATCCGATAAAAACTTTTTAGTCTCACTTCATTCAAACTAGTCTCACTTCATTCAAACTAGTCTCGCCTCATTCAAACTAGTCTCACTTCATTCAAACTAGTCTCACTTCATTCAAACTAGTCTCACTTCATTCAAACTAGTCTCGCCACATTCAAACTAGTCTCACTTCATTCAAACTAGTCTCACTTCATTCAAACTAGTCTCACTTCATTCAAACTAGTCTCGCCTCATTCAAACTAGTCTCACTTCATTCAAACTAGTCTCACTTCATTCAAACTAGTCTCGCCTCATTCAAACTAGTCTCGCCTCATTCAAACTAGTCTCACTTCATTCAAACTAGTCTCACTTCATTCAAACTAGTCTCGCCTCATTCAAACTAGTCTCACTTCATTCAAACTAGTCTCACTTCATTCAAACTAGTCTCACTTCATTCAAACTAGTCTCGCCTCATTCAAACTAGTCTCACTTCATTCAAACTAGTCTCGCCTCATTCAAACTAGTCTCACTTCATTCAAACTAGTCTCGCCTCATTCAAACTAGTCTCACTTCATTCAAACTAGTCTCGCCTCATTCAAACTAGTCTCACTTCATTCAAACTAGTCTCGCCTCATTCAAACTAGTCTCGCCTCATTCAAACTAGTCTCACTTCATTCAAACTAGTCTCGCCTCATTCAAACTAGTCTCGCCTCATTCAAACTAGTCTCACTTCATTCAAACTAGTCTCGCCTCATTCAAACTAGTCTCGCCTCATTCAAACTAGTCTCACTTCATTCAAACTAGTCTCACTTCATTCAAACTAGTCTCACTTCATTCAAACTAGTCTCGCCTCATTCAAACTAGTCTCACTTCATTCAAACTAGTCTCGCCTCATTCAAACTAGTCTCACTTCATTCAAACTAGTCTCGCCTCATTCAAACTAGTCTCACTTCATTCAAACTAGTCTCGCCTCATTCAAACTAGTCTCACTTCATTCAAACTAGTCTCGCCTCATTCAAACTAGTCTCACTTCATTCAAACTAGTCTCGCCTCATTCAAACTAGTCTCGCCTCATTCAAACTAACATCAGACGAGTACAGACAACGTTCATCTTTCAAACACACAAAAAATTAAATGTTTTGCGTGGGATTTTGGTTATTAAATCAGAAAAATCATTGAAAAAATATATACTCAGATGTTTAAAACAAACTAGATTTTGTCACTGCACTCGAGAAAAGTTGCAGGGGAAGTGAGAGGTTTGGGTTGGACCCCCAAAATAGCAACTGTTTGACGTTAGGCTACATCTTGGGGTGACGGTGGACTTGTGTCAGTACAATTAGTATGGTGAAACCTAAGATTTTAAATTTCACCATTGTTCAAGATGACTTAAACCAGGGGTCTCCAAACTACGGCCCGCGGGCCGGATGCGGCCCGCGATGTCTTCTCATCCGGCCCGCGGAGATCTTTTTGTCCACGGAAAAAACCGTTTATTGGTGATGTGACCTACTTAGGTCTTTTCTTTATTTATATTATTTAGTTTGCTTGAGTTATGTAATTGACCTTGGGAGAGTTGTTAGTTCACCTGATCTCCTCGGTCAACTGAACACTGTCACGTCATGTGACTTGGATTTTAATCCTTATCAGATCCTCGGCCAATGGTCTTATGGCATTGAAGATCCTTAACCGATCCTCGACCAATAGCCTTACAACATTACAGTAACCTCCCTTGGTTTTGATCCTAGATATAAACTAGACGTCTCTAGTGGACTTTGACCTAGACCCCGGGAGACACAGTGCTGTGTGTGTGTGTGAGGTCTTATTTGAATTGTTCAGTTCGTGGTGATATATTTTAATTCCCCACCATAGGAGTTGTTGGCCACTCCAGTGATTATGAGATATTGTTTAGGTGTGTTATTTCACCAAGGCCTTACCTGTGACTTTGATATCTAATTGTTAGATATATTTCAGTATCTTTGAGTTATATGTAAGTGATTTTTGTAGTTTATTTATTGCTCTTAATGAATTATACTTTGGTGTTGACTTAGTGTCTATTGTACATACTTTTTCACAAATTAAAATAGTAGTTGTCAGTTTAACCTAAGTTGAGTTTCATCTTTCCTACGTTTTAGTTCCCCTAGACTGTTGTAACAAGCCCACGTAGATGCAGGTGTGCTCATACTGTCCATGGGTATTTCTGTCTAACTACATTAAACGAACCCGGGGCGTTCGCCTGTTCTGCGTCTGTCAGACGGCGATCGTTACAGTGATGGCTGAGGAACTTTGCCCAGAAAAATCAAAGAAACTGGAAGAAACTGGCCCCCGAACTGAAATTTGTTAGTTAATGCGGCCCTCGGTCTGAAAAGTTTGGAGACCCCTGGTCTAGGCAACAGCTAACTGAGCCCGGCCATTTTACCCGCTGTGTATTTGTATGGGAAGATGTCTAGCAGACGTCACATTTCTGCTGAACGGCAGTGAACAGTCAATCGCGTCACAACAACACTCCTTAAAAACTAACCCACCGTAGTATAATTGTAGCCATTTAAAAACAAACGCGTTTTTTTTTTTACTAATCATTTTCTAGCCCCCCCCCCTCCCCCGAAGAAAGTCTACCCCCCCCCCCCCCCCCCCCGAACGAGATGGATTTTATATAGTAAGCATGCACTTTTATTAGTGTCCGCCCCCACCCGCCCCCGAAAAATGTTGACCGCCCCCTCCACAAAAATTTCAAGTGCCCCCCCCCCCCCCCCCGGAGAAAAAAGTCTGGAAGAAACACTATTTCCTAGGCTACCGATTAAATTTGATAATTAAATTGGTATCAAATTAAAGGAAAATAAATGTAGTTTTTTATTGTTTAAGCTAAATGTTTACAAATCGTAGAGGCGGGTTTAGTGACGGCTATTAAGGGCAGATAATTTAGTTTGAAACGATTTTAAACTTACAGGAGGTAACTAAGAGGAGGCTGCTTTCACGGGGGGGGGGGGGGGTGTAGGGTAGGGGTTGGGGAAAAGGGGGGGGGTTAGTGTTTTAAAGCAAATATTTTCAGTGGCAGCATTGGTACTGTCAAATTTACAAATTATGAATTACTGAAAAGTAGAAAATAAAACAACTAAATAGCGGCGTATGATACGCCGCGGGTCGGCTCGTAATTGTATTTTTTTTTTTAAATTACATCTGGCGAGTCAGATCGGTTTGAATTTAATGTTACTGGTCGATTTAACTATTTGGGACTACTAGAAAAGTTGGACAAGTTTAAAAGGATACGATTGATTCTAATTGCCGATGTTTGACTTACCGTATCAATCAATTCGATTAATTTAGAAAAATAAAACCACCAACAAGCTCCAAGCAACTGAAAGTAAACATGGTCAAATATTCTTTCAAAGTAAACATGGTCAAATATTCTTTCAATTTTCAACAATTTGGTTGTCTGATGTGTTGATTGCCTGATGTGTTGATTGTCTCATGTGGTGATTGTTGTCCGAAATTTGGAACACATTAAGAAATCTATAGCACATAGAAAAAATAGCTCTGCAAATGTAATATCTTATGTAATCGAAGACACAAATAAAGCTACAGAAACACATTAATCGAAGACACAAATAAAGCTACAGAAACACATTAATCGAAGACACAAATAAAGCTACAGAAACACATTAATCGAAGACACAAATAAAGCTACATAAACACATTAATCGAAGACACAAATAAAGCTACAGAAACACATTAATCGAAGACACAAATAAAGCTACAGAAACACATTAATCGAAGACACAAATAAATCTATAGAAACTCATTAATCGAAGACACAAATAAAGCTACAGAAACACATTAATCGAAGACACAAATAAAGCTACAGAAACACATTAATCGAAGACACAAATAAAGCTACAGAAACACATGTCTACTGTGGTGTCTCTGATGTTTGGTAATCCTAACACATGTGGTGCAGTGTTTCTTCCAGACTTTTTTCTCAGGGGGAGGGGGCACTTTGAAGGGGGAGGGGAAGGACTACATTTTCCAGGGGGGGGGGCGGACACTGATAAAATTTTATATTTTCTATATAAATTCCTTCTCGTTTCGGGGGGGGGGGGGGGGGAATGGTAGACTTTCTTCAGGCAAAGCCCCCCCCCCCCCCCCCCCGAAGAGATGCCTGGAAGAAACTCTGGTGTGATGGAATCCTAAGGCATGTCGTGTTATTGAGCGGTGTTGCGTCTTATTACCCTCATGGGCAGATCCTGCGTGCTGCTGTCAAACTGCAAACAGAGGAGCTCAAACTTTGGGTTCCTCCATGTTGACATTAGGAACTGGATTAAAAAGCAAAAGATTCATTCATTAGTTGATACAGATTATTAATGTATTCATCCTTTGTATTCTTCTTCTTGTGGTCTTCTTCCTTTAAACTGACTAATCCATTGGTATTTGCTTGACTAATCCATTGGTATTTGCTTGACTAATCCATTGGTATTTACTTTTGTCAGAAGATGGAAACATCTGAAGCCCACAATGACGAATTACACAAATGATTCGTTTCAACACTTGTTAGGGAGACTAAACTTGTAGAACTCATAATGAACTCTACTAAAAATAGTCGACACATATAAAGTGAAAGTATTTTTGCGTGTCTGTGTGTGTTTAATGCATTACTACACCTTTTATGCGATCTAATACTCCAGAGAAGGTTTTTGCGAAAAAGAATTAAATTTCGGAGGGTTGTTGCGTCACTAGTTCAGGGTTTGGTGCCTTGAGTTCGCTAGCGGCCATCTTAGCACATGTGAGCACTATGGCGCCTTCTTTAGTTTTAAAGAGCACCCTATGATAGGGACACTATAGGGCTGGTAAGTAGGTCACCAGTTCTACGGCTAAATAAAACCTACATGGGCCATAGAACTGATTGGTGACATACTTACCAGCCCTATTACGGAGGGAGATTCTAGTTCACTCAAGATTTTCATACAGCACACCCAGGTGCGTTTGGGCTGGAATGTGAACACACCCGCACCCCAACATCCAAGACCTCATTGAAATGATTCAGTTTCAGAAATAATAATCATTAAAAAAGTTTTTAAAAACCCACGTTTTCTGATTGAACTAAAAAGTAGAAAATAAATACTATACATCACAATAATGCAAGCGATCACTCTACTATAAGCGATGAAAAACGTGGGGCGCCGAAGTAAAAGTTATATTACTATTGATTAGATAATACTATTGACTTTTATTAGGGAGCTTGTAGAGAGTCAACAGTATTAGAAACTGTAAGAAAATCACGGCGCCCCACGTTTTTCATCGCTTATAGTAGAGTGATCGCTTGCATTATTGTGATGTATAGTATTTATTTTCTACTTTTTAGTTCAATCAGAAAACGTGGGGTTTTTTTAAACTTTTTTAATGATTATTATTTTCTACTTTTTAGTCTTTGTCTGTTTGTTTGCATTGAAATCTTGCTATCGATTTTATCTTTTCACTTTTTTTTGGGTAAACGAAGACAACTCGTAAAAAGACAACTCGTAAAAAACGAGAGACCCTTTCTTCTTCGGTCTCAATCGCAAGTGAATGATTGTCAGAGGTTAGTTGATAGCGGTTAGGACGAGGGCTGGTTACTGACTAGAACACATAGATTTGAACCCGTGTCGAGTGGGATAGCAATCGTGTGCCCAACCACTCGACCATAACGTCTCAAAGGGCCACCAGTGGTAATAGTTACCTCCTGTAAGTTTAAAGTCGGTTCAAACTAAATTATCTGCCCCTAAGCCTGTCGCGACGTGGGATCGTTTCGCGTCACTGCGCGCGGCAAGAGAGAGGCGAGCTACGCGTCGCTCGTTTTTTTTCTAATGGCTCGCAGAGGAGAATTATATATATAGATTATATAGCGGTCTAAAATGCTCAATAAAATGTTTCCATTGATCAATTTAGTAATAATAACAATTGAATATTCTATGGTCATCCAAAAGAAAGCTTCCCTGAAAATTTCAGCGCGCTAGCTAACTGGGAAGTGCCAGAAATTTCGATCGCAAGATTTGATTGGAAAAACAAACAAACAAACAGAGAAAGCAAGTTAAAGAAAACGTGGGAAAAACTAGGTCACTCGTCTCAAAATGCACGATTGGTTATCTGCTGATGAAACCCTTATAAATATTTCGTCACTCTGGTGTGTATATCCAGATCGCCGCGACCCGAAAGCGCTCCTCAGAAAATAAGGTGACGTGTATAAGAATCCATCTTTGGTAACAATGATGTGTTACCATAACGAGTTTGATCTCATCTGAGATGGCAGCAACAAAACGAGTACAGTAGAACTTTGTACAGAGCTCTGCTAAAACTAGTACCTCGTACAAAATATAGGCGGACAGAAGCACGAGGGAGAGGTTGTAGAAGATCATGGCCGACTTGAGGTCCAGGCTGTGGAAGTTCCTCATGACTCGCGGCCCCAGAGTTGCGACCATCAGGTAAACCGCCACAACAACCAGGGTGGGGAGAGGCGAGCTCATTAAAAACCACTGGCTGACTCTCACATCTAAAACAAAAGATCTGATGGCTCTAATCTAGCACATGACGTAATGGATGTAGCTCTAATCTAGCACATGACGTAATTGATGTAGCTCTAATCTAGCACATGACGTGATGGATGTAGCTCTAATCTAGCACATGACGTAATGGATGTAGCTCTAATCTAGCACATGACGTGATGGATGTAGCTCTAATCTAGCCCATGACGTAATGGATGTAGCTCTAATCTAGCACATGACGTAATTGATGTAGCTCTAATCTAGCACATGACGTGATGGATGTAGCTCTAATCTAGCACATGACGTGATGGATGTAGCTCTAATCTAGCACATGACGTGATGGATGTAGCTCTAATCTAGCACATGACGTGATGGATGTAGCTCTAATCTAGCACATGACGTGATGGATGTAGCTCTAATCTAGCACATGACGTGATGGATGTAGCTCTAATCTAGCACATGACGTGATGGATGTAGCTCTAATCTAGCACATGACGTGATGGATGTAGCTCTAATCTAGCACATGACGTGATGGATGTAGCTCTAATCTAGCACATGACGTGATTGATGTAGCTCTAATCTAGCACATGACGTGATTGATGTAGCTCTAATCTAGCACATGACGTAATGGATGTAGCTCTAATCTAGCACATGACGTGATGGATGTAGCTCTAATCTAGCACATAATGTAATGGATGTAGCTCTAATCTAGCACATGACGTGATGGATGTAGCTCTAATCTAGCACATGACGTAATGGATGTAGCTCTAGTCTAGCACATGACGTGATGGATGTAGCTCTAATCTAGCACATGACGTGATGGATGTAGCTCTAATCTAGCACATGACGTAATGGATGTATCTCTAGTCTAGCACATGACGTGATGGATGTAGCTCTAATCTAGCACATGACGTGATGGATGTAGCTCTAATCTAGCACATGACGTGATTGATGTAGCTCTAATCTAGCACATGACGTGATGGATGTAGCTCTAATCTAGCACATGACGTGATGGATTTAGCTCTAATCTAGCACATGACGTGATGGATGTAGCTCTAATCTAGCACATGACGTGATGGATGTAGCTCTAATCTAGCACATGACGTGATGGATGTAGCTCTAATCTAGCACATGGCGTGATGGATGTAGCTCTAATCTAGCACATGACGTGATGGATGTAGCTCTAATCTAGCACATGACGTGATTGATGTAGCTCTAATCTAGCACATGACGTGATGGATGTAGCTCTAATCTAGCACATGACGTAATGGATGTAGCTCTAATCTAGCACATGACGTAATGGATGTAGCTCTAATCTAGCACATGACGTGATTGATGTAGCTCTAATCTAGCACATGACGTAATGGATGTAGCTCTAATCTAGCACATGATGTAATGGATGTAGCTCTAATCTAGCACATGACGTGATTGATGTAGCTCTAATCTAGCACATGACGTGATTGATGTAGCTTTAATCTAGCACATGACGTGATTGATGTAGCTCTAATCTAGCACATGACGTAATGGATGTAGCTCTAATCTAGCACATGACGTAATGGATGTAGCTCTAATCTAGCACATGACGTAATTGATGTACCTCTAATCTAGCACATGACGTGATTGATGTAGCTCTAATCTAGCACATGACGTGATGGATGTAGCTCTAATCTAGCACATGACGTAATGGATGTAGCTCTAATCTAGCACATGACGTGATTGATGTAGCTCTAATCTAGCACATGACGTGATTGATGTAGCTCTAATCTAGCACATAACGTGATGAATGTAGCTCTAATCTAGCACATGACGTGATTGATGTAGCTCTAATCTAGCACATGACGTGATTGATGTAGCTCTAATCTAGCACATGACGTAATTGATGTAGCTCTAATCTAGCACATGACGTGATGTATGTAGCTCTAATCTAGCACATGACGTGATTGATGTAGCTCTAATCTAGCACATGACGTAATGGTTGTAGCTCTAATCTAGCACATGACATGATGGATGTAGCTCTAATCTAGCACATGACGTGATGGATGTAGCTCTAATCTAGCACATGACGTGATTGATGTAGCTCTAATCTAGCACATGACGTGATTGATGTAGCTCTAATCTAGCACATGACGTGATTGATGTAGCTCTAATCTAGCACATGACGTGATGGATGTAGCTCTAATCTAGCACATGACGTGATTGATGTAGCTCTAATCTAGCACATGACGTAATGGATGTAGCTCTAATCTAGCACATGACGTAATGGATGTAGCTCTAATCTAGCACATGACGTGATGGATGTAGCTCTAATCTAGCACATGACGTGATGGATGTAGCTCTAATCTAGCACATGACGTGATTGATGTAGCTCTGATTTAGCACATGACGTGATTGATGTAGCTATAATCTAGCACATGACGTGATTGATGTAGCTCTAATCTAGCACATGACGTGATTGATGTAGCTCTAATCTAGCACATGACGTGATTGATGTAGCTCTAATCTAGCACATGACGTGATTGATGTAACTCTAATCTAGCACATGACGTAATGGATGTAGCTCTAATCTAGCACATGACGTGATGGATGTAGCTCTAATCTAGCACATGACGTGATGGATGTAGCTCTAATCTAGCACATGACGTGATGGATGTAGCTCTAATCTAGCACATGACGTGATGGATGTAGCTCTAATCTAGCACATGACGTGATTAATGTAGCTCTAATCTAGCACATGATGTAATGGATGTAGCTCTAATCTAGCACATGACGTGATGGATGTAGCTCTAATCTAGCACATGACGTGATTGATGTAGCTCTAATCTAGCACATGACGTGATGGATGTAGCTCTAATCTAGCACATGACGTGATTGATGTAGTTCTAATCTAGCACATGACGTAATGGATGTAGCTCTAATCTAGCACATGACGTGATTGATGTAGCTCTAATCTAGCACATGACGTGATGGATGTAGCTCTAATCTAGCACATGACGTGATGGATGTAGCTCTAATCTAGCACATGACGTGATGGATGTAGCTCTAATCTAGCACATGACGTGATGGATGTAGCTCTAATCTAGCACATGACGTTATTGATGTAGCTCTAATCTAGGACATGGCGTGATTGATGTAGCTCTAATCTAGCACATAACGTGATTGATGTAGCTCTAATCTAGCACATGACGTGATTGATGTAGCTCTAATCTAGCACATGACGTGATTGATGTAGCTCTAATCTAGCACATGACGTGATTGATGTAGCTCTAATCTAGCACATGATGTAATGGATGTAGCTCTAATCTAGCACATGACGTGATGGATGTAGCTCTAATCTAGCACATGACGTGATTGATGTAGCTCTAATCTAGCACATGACGTGATTGATGTAGCTCTAATCTAGCACATGACGTGATTGATGTAGCTCTAATCTAGCACATGACGTGATTGATGTAGCTCTAATCTAGCACATGACGTGATTGATGTAGCTCTAATCTAGCACATGACGTGATTGATGTAGCTCTAATCTAGCACATGACGTGATTGATGTAGCTCTAATCTAGCACATGACGTAATGGATGTAGCTCTAATCTAGCACATGACGTGATGGATGTAGCTCTAATCTAGCACATGACATGATGGATGTAGCTCTAATCTAGCACATGACGTGATTGATGTAGCTTTAATCTAGCACGTAGGCTTCTAGTTTTATTATTATACTGTATAGGTATAGTAGGCTTTTAGTTTTATTACTGAAGCGCTTTAGGTGCATGTAATGACTCTAACGTTACGGCCTACCTAGCTAAATCCAGTGCTAGTCGTGATTTAATGGTATTTCCTTCAATACAAACGTGGCAAATAGAAATAATCGCTTTTCCCTGCTCTTTTTTTTTCAATTCGATTTATTAGTTTATACAAGCTTTAATACTATATTTTTACTTTGAATTATTATTTTTTTAAAAAGAAGAACAAACTTCAACGAAAGCGAATTGGCGGAACAGTATGCATGTTTGGTACCTGCTTGTAGGTCCACTAAGGAGTCCATGGAGGTCTATGACAGACGTGTTCTGGTTGATGTAATTCTATGTCAGACGTGTTTTGGTTGATGTAATTCTATGTCAGACGTGTTTTGGTTGATGTAATTCTATGTCAGACATGTTCTGGTTGATGTACTGCTTTGACTGCCGTGTCAAAACAAGTGGTTAAGAAATTCGTCCATCGCTTAGAACAATACATGTAAAAATAAATGACTGAGGACATGTTTTATCAATCAATCAATAATTCAGTCAATCAATCTGTCTCTCTGTCTATCTATATATCTATATATCTATCTATACATTACACTTCATTACATTATGTCCTGTCTGGGCTTACACATTGGTAGCACGAGTGGGGTTGGGTGTCTAAAACCCAAATTCTCTAAATCCACCCCCAGACTAATCAACTATTGGGGCGTCGGTGCAAGTCAGGCTAAACCCAGACTCGTTAAACCCAAACCTTAGTCTCAAAACAGAAAAACAAAAAATAATCAAAGATTATAACAATATAAGTGGAACTACAATTTTAAAAAAGAACCAAGAAATACACCACAATCTACCCCTAGTCATATTAAACATCTAAAAAAAAAACCCTAACAAACAGAGACGTGGTGCACGAAGCCGATCCTCGAGATCTACCTTCTCGACTGGTCGTAGGTTTAAAGGACGACCCTAGTGGGTACTTGATCTTTAAAAGATCTTATTCAAGGTGAGTGTTGGAGGTTGGAGGCAGAGGCGTAGCGGGGGGCGCGGACCGCACCGGGTGACACCATTTAGAGGGGTGACACCAAGGCAAAAAATAGCAAAATATGTAGAGAAAACTTTGAGGGGGGGGGTGCAAATCGAAAGTTTGAGGGGGGTGCAAATCGAAAATTTGTCCCCGGGAAGGGTAGCTGCGCCTCACCGGCTGACACCCGACCTCGCTACGCCACTAGTTGGAGGTATTAACATAACACAACGCCTAGATCGAGTTTAAGTTCAAATAATCCACCACGTTGTTTTTTTTTTGTTTGTTTTTTTTGGTAATGTAAGTATTTCAAGCTACACACCAAGTACTACTTAGTTTAAAATCGTCGCTTAAACCCAACCCATCCATGAACTTGGCGGGGTTTTCTACTTTAAACCAGTGGTGTCGCTAGGTTGGGTGTCACCAGATGCGTCACTTCGTGGTGTCAACCCCCACAACTATTATATATATATATATATATATATATATATATATATATATATATATATATATATATATATATATATATATATATATATATATATATATATATATATACATATATATATATATATATATATATATATATATATATATATATATATATATATATATATATATATATATATATATATATATATATATATATATATATATATACTAGCTGCATACGCGTGCTCCGCCACGGTAAATCTTTTTTAAATGTACCATCTTGGGAAGAGAACAAAAAAAAACTCAACATAAACACAACACAAAAGAAAACACAAACACAACACAAATACAAAAGAAAACACAACATAAAAGAAAACACAAATGCAATGCAAACAAACACAATGCAAACACAAAAGAAAACATAAACGATACCACACAAACATAAAAGAAAAAACAAACGCAAATAAAAACACAACTGGAAACACAAACACAATGCAAACACAAATGCAAACGCAAAAAAAACGAAAACACAAACACAAAACTCATAACATAAACACTACTTAAATGCAAACATAAACGCATAGTACTCACTGTCAAGCCCGTAGCGCCAAAATCGCACCCTGTCCGAGCGCCGACGGACGTGCCTGATTCAATTTACTGATGACTTTAAAACCCACAGCTTATCCGCAAACCGAAAGATATAAACAATAATTAGTAAACAGTACGTTCAGTGTCTAAAATAAATAAAAGGCAATATATAAAATATTTGTGTTTCATCTACCATGTTGCACTTTATCAATCTATGCATTCACATAACGTTTTTTGAATATTTTTGTCAGTACTTTAAATTTTGAAAATGTATAATAGCGTTGCATGACTAAAACCATTGCGCACCTAATATACTAATAAACGTGATGACGCGTGTATAATAGTGCGGAATAGTTGAATAAAAATTATAATTAGTAAACAGTACGTTTAGTAAATAAAATAAATAAAATATTGCCTTTTATCAATCCATGCTAATTATAATATTCCAACAATAATGTCCTCTTACACGTCTGAAAATTTGCATTCAAATTTGTTTGTCCGTTAGGTTGCAGGCGAGAATCTGCACTATGTGTAGAGCTGTACAATACGTAATTAGGTAGAGAACAATTTTCTTTTTTTAAACAAACTGTTAATCACAAGTTAATTTAAAGACGTTATTTTAGTATACAAAAAAAAATTCTCTAGATCTAGAAACTACAAGTCAGCTGTCGACGGAAAAGTTATAGATCTAGAATAAAAGTAGAATATACCACTATTTACGTCCATTTTCTACGAGCCTAGATAGCTAAGATGTTAGTATATTAAGTTCCCATGCTGGTGGCACGGGTTCCAGACACACCATGTCTTTGTTAATTTTTTTTTTTCAATTTTTTTTTAGATGTGAAAGATAAAGTTGCCTATCGGAACTTAGCTGTATACAGGGCAGGTGAAGTAGAGTTGGGTAGGTGTAGAGTTCACCTGTGACGTCAGCATATGAAGGGATAGTGTGGTCATGCCCATGATCAGCCGAATTGTTTTTAAAAGACGAAAACGTCTGAGTTATAAGGCCAATGCACGGCCTGGTATTTGGATAAACACACAAGTTAATGTCCTTTACAGATAAGTTTTTCTATAAGGCCAATGCACGGCCTGGCCGGCTAATACTTTAGATAAGAAATTTTAATCAAATCTTTAAAATGTATTAAGCATCCAATTAAGTAAAATTTACCCACATGCAACGTTTCAAAGAAGTGCTCAAATTTGGCTACGGACGACAAAAGGAGGAGAAAACAAGTTCAATAAAAGTTGTGAAAAAAAAAAAACAACTTCTAGCGTTATTATTTCTTAGCCAAGACCTAATCTAAAAATTAACTCAGTTATAAAAGGAGTGTAGCCTTATATAAATATATGGAGACGGACGAAACTTCTGTCAGGGACGTTTTCATTGATGGAATCTAGATCTATCTAGATCTAGATTAGTCTAGATCTATCTAGATCTAGATTAGTTAGTATGGCTGTTTTAATGAAAGGTGTTATCCATTTATGAAGTCCGCAAAATGACTTTTGCGGACGCGTGTGGACAGGGGGAGGGGGTGGGGTTGGCCCAATGTGGATGTCCACACATTAAATCTAACATTAGTTTTGTAGTGTGAAAGCAAAAATATTTTGCCCGTAACTCTTCTTAAGTTCACTATTTGTTGGTTGTCTCCCCTTTTTAAACACCTAAATAATCTATATATATAATACTCTTCTGTGAGACGCTAGAAAACAAGCTGTAAGCGCGCTCCTTACCAGCCCCACCCCTACATGGTCTGGTGAGCTGTGGTTCACGCTAAATGTTTACAAGCAGAGCCGGGTTTAGTGACGACTATTAGGGACAGATAATTTAGTTTGAAACGATTTTAAACGTAGGGGGGGGGGTAACTAAGTGGAGTTTACTTTAAAGGAGGGGGGGGGGGTTATCGTCCTTAACGAGCTACTTATAGTGTTTTAAAGAAATATTTTCAGTGGCAGCGTTGGTACTGTCGAATTCACAAATTATGAATTACTGAAAAGTAGAAAAAGCAACAACTAAATAGCGGCGTATGATATGCCGCGGGCCGCTCGTTAAATATATTTAATTTAGTGAGACTTGCTTGCATTTCACTTCCTCGCAGTTACGAAAATACTACAGCTTCATGTAGTGTACTATTAGACAAATTACAAATAATATATATTGTCATATGAATATGAGTTATGATTTTCAGACAAATTTACTGAAAACGAATTTAAAAAACGACGAGGTTGTAACAGGATGTTGGCAATTTTTGTGTCTATGCTGACTACAAGTGTACAAAATAATGACTAGTCAAAACACAGCGAAATTCGCTAAATTAAATGATTTATATCAAAATGCTTATCATTCCAAATCGAAAATTCAACTTCAAAAAGAGTTTAATAGCCTATGGCTTAATTTAAAAATTAGTTGAACAGCAGGACGCCATCAGGATAAATCAGTCCCAATCTTTATCATTTTGGGCCAGGCTACCCAAAAAGGATACAGGTAAGAATTGCATTTCATTTATTTTTAAATGGGATTTTTCGGTTTGTTTGAAGTATGAAAATGATAAAAAAATTAATTAGATCTGATTTAAGTTTTTTTTTTTTATCTTGATTGTCTAGAATCAAGAGGGACCGATGAAAGTATTGCCACTGAGCGAACTGGTAAAACTCAAGCTCCTGGCCCATGAGAGTCTGAACAAAAACTAACCACTTCTACAAGTGAGTATGGACTATCAGTTTCAGAAGCAAAAAAAGAAAAACTAGATGTGGATGCTTCCCTAAAAAATGCACCAACGGAAGAAAAATGAAAAGAAAACATGAACCTAGAAAGAGTTCGAATTGTCAAATTACAAGAGCTTAAAGACTGTGGTTTGGCGACGGCAGAAAATTTGAAGCAGCTAAAATGTTCCAAAAATTTGGTTGAAAAGTGTGAACAAAAGTTGAGTCGTATGCAGAAAGATGCTGAGCGACAAAATGAAAACCAATCAAATTTAAAATAACTCCTTATGGATATTGGAAAAGATGACGAGAGTCTAGAAAAATTTGCCCGGCTGAGATTTGGGCGTCCATCTCTGGAAGAAGAACAGAGTGATCTGCCTCAGACAATCATTGCAATTGTCACCAGAGGTGCTGCAGCAGATCAAAGGCAAAGGGCGGAAGTATTGCATGCCTGTTTAACTCTGGATGACTTAGCAAGCAGCTGAGCTAAAAAATCTAGATTTCTCTCCAAGCAGGTCAGCATTGTACTTGAGACTGATTCCCCGCAGGCTAGACACCACTGAAGGCAAAAAACATATCCAGACAGTACCGGTAAAGCTACGGAGACCGGAAAACAGTGAGCGAAAGTTGCATGAAAATGCAAACTTTGCATTTTCCACAAAGGAATACCTAAAAAAGTATTTCCTCTATGTTTGGGCCACAGGCTGTGTTTGTCAGTTGACGATAAGGCTAAAGTCCCTATCGGTCTGGCCGCAGCCAACAAACAAGCACCACTGCTGATGTGTCTGGAATACAAAGTCAGACTTCCAGATCATGACTTTGTTATAGCTGCTAAACACAAGCTTACACCCTCTGTCTATACAAGCTTACACCCTCTGTCTATACAAGCTTACACCCTCTGTCTATACAAGCTTACACCCTCTGTCTATACAAGCTTACACCCTCTGTCTATACAAGCTTACACCCTCTGTCTATACAAGCTTACACCCTCTGTCTATACAAGCTTACACCCTCTGTCTATACAAGCTTACACCCTCTGTCTATACAAGCTTACACCCTCTGTCTATACAAGCTTACACCCTCTGTCTATACAAGCTTACACCCTCTGTCTATACAAGCTTACACCCTCTGTCTATACAAGCTTACACCCTCTGTTTATACAAGCTTACACCCTTTGTCTATGCAAGCTTACACCCTCTGTCTATACAAGCTTACACCCTCTGTCTATACAAGCTTACACCCTCTGTCTATACAAGCTTACACCCTCTGTCTATACAAGCTTACACCCTCTGTCTATACAAGCTTACACCCTCTGTCTATACAAGCTTACACCCTCTGTCTATACAAGCTTACACCCTCTGTCTATACAAGCTTACACCCTCTGTCTATACAAGCTTACACCCTCTGTCTATACAAGCTTACACCTTCTGTCTATACAAGCTTACACCCTCTGTCTATACAAGCTTACACCCTCTGTCTATACAAGCTTGCACCCTCTGTCTATACAAGCTTACACCCTCTGTCTATACAAGCTTGCACCCTCTGTCTATACAAGCTTACATCCTCTGTCTATACAAGCTTACACCCTCTGTCTATACAAGCTTACACCCTCTGTCTATGCAGCTTGAACAATTAAAGCAGCATCAGAGCATTCTGAGCTTGCAATAACACACTCTGGGCCAACGTATATAGCCACCATAAATACCAAGCATGACAGCAGCACAGCGTTTACACATGGGAGAGATGTGGATCATTTGCTACATCTTGATTCTTTTAAAGAGGTATCTACCCTTGAAGGCAACATTAAGCCAATATTCCTTGCTTTCGTGGATGGGGGACCTAATGAGAACCCACGCTTTCCTAAAAGACTAGTTGTGGGTACAGACAGGTTCCGACAGTACAATTTAGATGTGTACATAGCTATGACACATGCACCGGGAATGTCTGCCTACAATTATGTTGAAAGAAGAATGGCCCCACTGGGCAGGGAACTGGCGGGCTTGATATTGCCACATGATTCATTCGGTAACCATTTAAATGCTTCTAAAAGAACTGTAGATCCAGAATTAGAAAAAAAGCAGGAGAGGTGTTGGCTGAGATCTGGAGCAATATCAAGTTTGATGGTTATCCGGTCGATTCAGAATTTGTTTCCAATGAAACATTGGCCATAGATCAAAATGTAGATGAATGTTGGATTGTTCAACATTGTCGAATTTCCCAGTACACATTGCAGAGCGTCAAGTGCACTAGTCGGTCATGTTGCGGTGCATTTCGCACATCTTGGATGGAAGTATTTCCCAATCGTTTTTCGCCGGCTCCATGTCCAATGAGAATCACAGCTGAAGGTCCAGTAGTTCCCGAACCAGCTTGTGTACAGCCAACTGACAGGGT